AACCGGGAATTCATATTTTCTTCTGTGAGCTATTATTTCTTCAGGAGCTCATGTGATTCTCTTGATTAAGTTGGTTGACCTCAGAGTGAATTTATTCCATTAGTATTTAGAAAATGGTTATGCGCTATTCTTTCGCTTTAAATAATCGATTAGATTTCATGCCAAAGGGAAATTTAGAGACATTGCATTTGGGTTCATTTAGCTGGTTATATGAGGGAGGCCAAGTCGAATTTTATCCAGATGAAGCAGTTGCCTATCGGTTTGGATATGGAACGAAGGATCGGGTGAAATTGTCAAAACAAATGGTTGGAGGTTCTTAAGCGATCTGAATGATATGAAATGTTCCGATATTTCAGTTGAAACATCCTATGAATTTAGGCATCAACATTGCATTTAGTATGACTTTGGAATTGCCATGAGCGGTTTGAAGTTAAAACTTCAAATTTCGATCAGTTGTGTACTGGGCATGACAATTATCGGTTTAAATTGTGGAATCGAGGGATAAGGTAAGAGTAATGCGTTCCATTAATGGCGTGTTGTCTTGCCCATGCTCAACTGGTATAAACTGGTGGTTTGTGTGCTCTGCGAAGATGTTGAAGTGGTGTCCTTCCAATATATGTCGAAATTGTTTAATTGCTGAGCAAATGTGGGACATTTTCTTATGACTTGTGCTTTGTCTTGTTTCGGTCAGTGTTAAATTCTAGGAGAAATGAACAGTGGTTTAGTCTGAGTCACAAAATGCAAAATGCTGTTGGGTACCCTCAACAAAGAGACACTACTCGGTGCATGCAACTTGCCCTCGATAACCCTATAACTAAATACTAAGACATGACAAGTGCGTTGACGGATTTCGTTTTGACCTCATATTTGGATGGGCCAAGAGAGATGTATAACATCTATATAACCTCCTCTAAATTGTATTACTCTGTCACTATAAAAAATGTATTGATCACTTTAATTAATGCTTAAACAAAGCGCTTATCTCTGGATTGCAGTTAATGAATATTGAGGCTTTGTGATTTAACAATTGCACATAACTGAAAACATGACCCTCAAATGGTTTGATTAAAGTTGAATTGATTTATAAGATCAATTGAAGCAATGTTGAATGACAGAAAGACCAACATGCTGCAGTTTTATAAGAAGTAGAAGAATAGATGAATAAACCCAAATGCCTGGCTTGTGACATTGATGCACAAAATAGACGATTGGGTGCAGTAAAGCCGAATATTTGAGCATTACATTTTGGCCAGGTGCAGCTAGAGGGACCAATAGAGGCAATAAAATTTGGTTGTGTCCATTCGCACTGGTAAGTACGATCGAAGTGATTCCAAGCGCCTGTGACAAATTTTAGGGCGACGAGGCAGACACAGAATATTCACCAAACTAATGTAATCTCATCAATCCATGTGCATCGGACACTGGGTCAGTGTTATCAATGCGTTTAAGCCAGTGACCTCCTCTCGATAAATCCGATTCCACTTAAACATTCTCCAATGAAAAGATTCTCAGTCTTGTGTTGCGCATATTTCGAGTTCTAGACAACCAGATGCGAAAATTTCCTGAGCCGATTTAATACTGATATTCTTTCAGAATGCAGATAGAGGGTAAGTGCTAGTTCACGTGACATTAATAGAGGCGTTATCCTCTTGCCAGTTCTCGTATATGCTTATTCAATAGAGATGTGATCTTGACATTACACGGGATCTTATATCAGATAAACTGGGGCGTGCGATAAAAACTTACCTCCACGTAATACCCCCTGGGCAACATATACTCATGCGGCAATAAAGTCTACCAACCGGCAGTTGAATTCTCACTTCAAACTGCTATCATCCCACTGTATGTCATATTCGACTACTTCCATAATACTCACCCCACCTTTTTTATGTCATATTCGACTACTTCCATAATACTCACCCCACCTTTTTTTCTACCTTTGTGTCTGTCTCTTTTGCATCTTTGAAACCCTCATGTGTTCTCCCAACAAACTCGACTTTTTTCACTTTGGTGTTTCTTCCCCTCTGTGAAGCCTGTAGTCAACTAAAGGGCTAATGATAACTATCAGAACGCCTGCAATTTGACATAAATAAATATCAGACACTACTCAGTTATAATAGGTAATATGAGGAAGAGATTTATGAGCTTTCTGTTTTTCATAAAACAACTCATAAATAAAATTATTCTTTTTCAAGATACTTTGTCATTGTTTTCAACAATTAATAAATGACTAAATTTTTGTTCTCTTGTATTTTGATTGTATTAGATGAAATTTTGCTGCTAAATAACAATTCTAACACGAAATCAGCAGTTTCATTTTTTAGTACATTGATAAAATGCTACTAGGTTTCATCCTCAAATTAAAAGTTTAAGCACGTTTTTGCGATATTGTGTATTGCTTAATAAATATGTTTTTTTATTTTGAATGAAGCACGTTGAAGCAAATATGCATTGGATTAAAAATATTGGCTTGAAATCTTTGGGAGTAATTTTTGTAGCAATAATCGATTTCTGAAAATAACGAGAACCGATTCTGGCTACAGCAAAAAAAATGCTTAAAAACGAGGAACAAAATAGTTTTGAGAAATAACAGTTTACATAATTTGACGTGATGGCAAACATTTGAATGTGAAAGGCGAATTAATGTGGTTTGAACTTTTCTCGTGTTTATTAAATGAATTGATACAACTGACCACGTCATAAGAAAACAATTAGGTGAATGAAGCCTTCTTTTTTGAATCCAAGTTTAAGTCAGATTTTTCATTAAGTAACATGATCATTGATGTCAATATCTCCTACGTTTAATATAACTTTCTAACTTAACGGCAGTTCCATTAACTTTGTCACCGCGCATGTGTGCCAAGTTGAATTCAATTCTCAGTTCATTTACATCAATATAGTCAATTATAGAATTTGACTATTTGCATTAAAATTTGAATAACAGCTGTGATAGGCTGCGTCATACTTGATTGCGCAAAAGAGAACTTATGCATTATTAACAAAAACTTTCTAGAGTTTGGAAAATAATTAAGGAAACCGATTCCACTTATAGTTTCAATCTCTTTTTCGTGCTTTAAGACGAAGACAAATGCCTTGCACATGAAGTTCTTTTCAACTTTGACCAACCTTCAACAATCGATTCCGAGCTGATATTCAAGTATCTCGTTATGCTTAAAGAAGGCAAAACTATTGAAGTTCCATTTTATGACTTCGAGCCACTTCCTTATACCCTGAACGTTGGTGGAATTAGAGTGGTAATATTCGAAGGCATCATGACCTATTGCTATCAGGAACTAGCAACATCGTTTAACATTTCTTGAGATCCTATGCCCATTTGTACATTTTTCAGGCAATTGAATTTCTTGCTAATCTAAACTTTCAAAATATATTCGTGACCTTAGTGTGAAGCTTGTATAACTTGCATTTGTGGTAAATTACAGTTGGCATATCCTTCCACGTCCATTTCTTTCATAGCTCTTGCAGGAAATGAAAAAAATAACTATTCACAGTATGAGCTAATGCACATCGAGGAGTAACTTAACTTATTGCAAATGACACGTGTTTTGATAATTTTCGTTAGCCCTTTTAGCTGACTTCGGGCCTCACAGCGAAGAGGAGGTACATCAAAGTGGCAGACGTCGAGAGGAGGGGGGGGGGACAAAATAATGATTCACAGGTGCAAAATAGACAGACAGGCAGACACAAAGGCAGAGAAGAGGTGAAATGTGCACCGTGAAAGAGCTTAAATATGATATACAGTCATTTCAATTAACCAACACTTCCGAAATTATTAATTTTTAAACAACATTATGTTTATTGAGCCATACCATTGTTTTGAATACAACAATACTAGTCTTTCTTCTTCTTTATTGAACTACACAACTGAATTTTAGCTGCTAGAGCCTTGATTTATAAAGTATACGTACCCCGTCCCCTTTCAATCGATTCAGCGCAAAAAAATAATGTGAAGCGTTCTAAATTAAACAAATAGGCATATTGCCCACTTTCACTGTTTCATTTGTGTATAACAAGACACCTAGAATTGGCTTAACTCTCGCAAGTTTATGAATGAAACCTACTTAAAATGTGGAATACACTTGTTTGAGATTTTTTTCGATTTCAGAAGTGAAACTCAAGCACAATATGCACTTTCTAGCATGATAACCAAATAATGGCTTTTGGCATTGAATGTGGATTAACTTAAAGTTTGTAATTCTACTGTCATTCACTCCGTGGTTATCAATCCACACTATCAATTGTTTACCCAATTAATTAGGTCAATCGATCTCAGGCTATCCCTATTACGCTCAGAGATCGTATACAATAGTTAAGAATGAATAATAATTCAGTGATTGTCTCCCTCGTCAATGGATTGTATTTCATATGTGCAATAGGCTGCCACTGGATGCGAAACGTAGGCAGACTTAAGAATAACCTATTAAGGCTCATTTCCATCTCAATTAAATATCTTATTCCATACTACGGAACGAAATAGGAGCAAATTTAAAATTTGAAAATTAACTACCGTACGTCAGTAGACACTACTTCCCACATATGGCCTTAATATAGAATCAGAGGCTATGAAAGTTTATTTATTTATTTATTTCAAATGACAGGCTTTATGATATTTATCATTAGCCCTTAATCTTTGACTTCAGCTTCCCCCAAGAAGGGGGGGGGTACATTTATAGCAGTTAATTAATAACAATTCATTAGCTGTCTTCTTGCTTCCCAGTATCTCTGGCTTTTCGTCGTTGTCTTTAGGGCTGGACACCGAATCTGGTGGGTCTTCTCCGTTTCCCCCTGTAGGTTACATAGAGGGCACGTGGGTCGAGTGTAAACTCCCAATCTGTGAAGGTGTTTTGCCAAGCAATCGTGTCCGGTACGTAATCTAAACTCAGCAACGGCTTCGCTTCTTGGCCAGTCGGGTATGTTTGGAATGCAGTTTTTGCGGTGTTAATTACCATTCCATTGTTGTCGCACCAGTTTGCTAGTAGTTTAAGTCCACAATTTAGGGCGCTTTCCGTCCTCTCCTTAGCGTTTTCCTTAGAAGCGGAATACCATAGTACCAGATCATCTGCGTAAAGTAAGCACTTGATGCCCGTGACTGTCTGTACTAATTCGGCTATGTCATTGATGAAGACATTGAAAAGAGTGCAGCTTGTGAGAGCTCCCTGTGGGAGGCCTGTTTGCAAAAGATTGGATTTTGATAGAGCATTTCCATATCTGACTTTACACGATCTTTGTCCAATGAATGCTTTTATCCAGTTTAGCATGTTATGCTTAATACCAATCTTTGCCAATTTTAGAATTAGCTTGTCTTTCCATACTAAGTCATATGCTGATTTGAAATCGACGAAAACAGCCGTAAGGGTATTTCTTGCATCAAGGGCATCTTTGATGTGTTTTGAGAGAGTGGCTACTTGTTGGTTCGTTGATCTTTGTGGCCTAAAACCTGCTTGTTCACTCCTAAGAATATTGTTANTCAGAAATTTGAAAGTGCGTTGGCTATCACTTTGATAGTTTATATTTGAGATGAACATGTCGAAGGAAGTCCGTTTAGCTTGTAAGACGGCTTGCCTTAGGACAGCTGATTGTCGTCTCCAGGCGTGTACGTCTTCCGTTCTTCCAGTCTGATCAGCAGTGTTGTGAAGGGCGTCCCGCTTTCTTTTCAGTTCCTCAAGGTGTTTAGACCAAAATACTCGATAGTGTTTAGTCTTGCCTCGGGGAATAGTTTTCTTTGCACATCTGATCATAATATTGGTGATAGCAGTGCAAAGTTTGTCAGGATGTTGGTTGAAGTTGAGGGGACTTGTGTGAAGTTCATTCTCCAAAAGGTTTGCGAATCTAGGCCAGTCAGCCTTCTTAAAGTTCCATGATAGCTTAGTTGGCACTTTCCTTGACATGCTTTTGCTGCCGATGGTAATACTAGCAATGACTGGTTTGTGACCAGAACCAGGATCGTCAATTATTTGCGGTGTGTATGCTCACTGATGTCGCTTGAAGCCAAGAGTAAATCAGGAGTTGTTCTGGTTCCATTGTAGTGCAAATATGTAGCCTGAACATCATTGCTATAAATAAGTTCCAGTGTGTTGCTGTTAAGCATGTCTTCAATTTCCTTTCCAGCTATGTTTGTATCCTTGTAGCCCCATCTGGTGGAGTGGGCGTTGAAGTCTCCTAAATACTATGGTTTTGTGTGAGATGTTCAGAAAGTCAAAGTTTGGACAATTCTGGGGTAGATTATAGACTGCATATAGCTTGAAGTGGTTTTGACATTTCCAAACATTTAATCTAATTATTTCATATTTGTCTTGTGTCGAGCCCATACTCTTGATTAGGTCATAGTGTGAGGTGAGGCCTTCTTTAACTCCAGTTAGAATTCCACTTGCAACTTGCCGGTATTTAGGTAGATTGTACAGAGTGTAACCTGGGAATTGGTAGTACTTCAGTTTGTCATCCGAAATGTTAGCTTCTATAATTGTGAAAATGTCTACATCATAGGTTTGTAGGATTTTCTGTACTTGGATCTTTTTGTCCGGAGACATTCCTCCAGCATTCCACTGGAGGATCTGAAGACATTGTGATTCGCCCTGACTAGGGCGATTTTTCTTATAGCCTTTCTTAAAGCCAATCATAATAAATCGAAGTCAAAAACGAATGCCGAGTGATAGACTTTTTTGCCCTAAGAAAATGCGTTGTCCAGGGTGCACCACGTGAAGGTAAGTCTATCGCGCCGTAAAGTTTTCTTAAAAATCAAATTTCTGTGTCCAAATAGGTTTGAAATACTTGGTTAACGAGATTCAATATCACTCACTAAAGGAGTATCGAGTCCTACCCAGAACAACAATCCCTCCCTTCAAATAAAAATAGGCTAGCAGTTCTTCGGCAATTTAATTTTAAACAAAATGAAGAAATAAGATTATTTAAATAAAGTTACAACTAATTACTTGTGGAATAATTTGAGCAATTAGTTGAATCGTTCTAGAAATACAAGCAAATAAACTGCAAAATTCAATACTTGAATTAGCAAAAGGAAATTTAGATTTAAATTAATATAAATTAAAATTTACATTTATTAGCTCTATTGGTAGAAATTTCATTGTTTTCATACTCATTCATCACAAAGAAGAGTAAATTTATGATAAAAATCACATTCCAACGAAGCAAAATTTTAAATGAAATTTGTTTTTTTAGAAGTTGTAAAAATTCATTTGGTATACAAAATTACCTATAATTCAGTGTCAATAATAGTCAAATTTTAAATATTAAATTGTCAATATCATAGCGTTTAGTTACTTGCCCATACATTTCTGTATATCAAACCTGGTTCAAAATATTTGAATCGATATTTCGGGATAAATTATGTAAATCACATAAAGTCAGTTATGGAAATGATCTGTCCAAATTTAATCTTTTATAAACATGCCGATCAAAGAGAGCTGTCACAGGCTGCTCTCTGTTCAACATCTTCAACAATGACTTGGCTAAATTAGTGAAGACAGTCGCGGACATCAAGTGCTTGCTTTATGCCGATGATCTTGTTCTAAGACAACTTTCAATACTCATTACTAACCTCTTCAGTTGGCATTAATTAAGGTCACGTCTACGCTCTCCAACAACGTACACAACTTCGAATGGTTTTTTAATGTGAAACACACTTCCACCTCATCGTCTTTTTGCAGCCCAAGCCATAACCCGACTAGTTCTTTTGAATATGTGTTCCAAATGGTTATGACAAAAGATAAAGGTCGGATTTGACATCATCAGAAGTAATCCATGCACAAACCCTCAGGTGAGATCTTTTATGAACCGCAGATGAATTCACGCATCATAAAGCGGTTGACTGTGAGGCGTGAATTCTAAAACATCAAAGATAACCTACTTTATGATTATTTTGTCAATAGCTTTGTTTGAATCAGTACTGACTGGCGTTTAGAGGCATTAGGAGTGCTTATCTATAAAAAAAGTTTTTATTATCTTTTACAATGAATGTCGCAAAATTAATTGTTCAATATTCTCCTTCCCGGAGTATGCGATAGACTTATCTCCACATGCTGCACCCTGGGCGGTTACGAGTGACTCGCAGCACTACAACGTTATTGGTTGAATGAACATCTTGTAAGTCGTATTTAGGGTTGACGATGCACAGTCCATATGCTACCAGCAAGGTGTTCTGCTACTTTAGCAGTGTGGCTTTTCCATGCTAGCTTTGTGTCAAACGTTACTTCCGGATAAGTGAATTCGTTTATATTTTCTAAAGATATAGCATTGTACATTAAAGCCGATTTATGCTGTGGTGGACCAATAAAAATGCATGAAATGCGATTTTGAAGTGATCGTATCCATTACGTTGTTGTTTCACTAGTTTGCTAATAGTTTAAGTGCATAATTTAGGGCACTATCCATTCTCTCCTGCGCGTTTTTTTTAGGTGCGGAATACCATAGAACAAGATCATCTGCATAAAGTAAGCACTTATTGCCCGTGACTGCCTGTATCAGTTCGGCTATGTCATTGATGAAGACATTGAAAAGAGTGCAGCTTGTGACAGCTCCCTGTGGAAGACCTATTTGTAAATTTGTGAAAATTGAGTTCACCTGCCACTTCATATTGAAGGATGCAATTTGGTAAAAATTGCATACAATAAAAGTTAGCTGAAGTATTATGGCTTCTAATTCCCATAGGATTAATTACGTTTGACTTGACAAACTGATCTTACTTTATCAGTAACAGATCATGCACCAATAGAAGTTAGAGGAATCAGGGATAGATGATGGATTACCACTATTTGAAATAAAATAAATATATAAAACCTCAAAATAATAATGATCATAAGCAACCGTAACAATTTCTCAGTCACTTCAATAGACTCTTCATAAAATTTATATCTTGGCCACTATAGTTGTTATGCCATTCAATAAATGTGGCGTAATGAGTTCTACGACTTTGCAGGGGTGAGACCAAACTGCTAAGGCCTGAATTTTGCAATAAAGCAAACAAGTGTTACCATCACAATGCCAAAATATTAGATGTGGTGTACATTCTTTTGAAAAATAACATCTATGGCTAATGAATAACACCCATGAAATTAAATCCGTGATAATATCATCCCCAAAAATGCGGTAAAGTAGTAAAAATATGTGCAGTATTGACACTAAACATCTGATTTTACAAATATTCAAAAATTACAAAAAAGCAACAAGTAAAAAACGTAAAATGAGCTAACGTTATATTTTACATATCCAAAAAATTCACCTGGATGTGGAGCAATCGAGCAAGTGCTGAAACGTGTGATATGTGGACACATTATCGCTGCGTGCGTCATTGTATGCCCGCATGTCTGCTCGCCAGGATTGGGAGGTGCGTCGTACAACTCTGTGTGCAGCGACCGTGAAAACAGTGCCCAATCATCAACCTCTGTTTAACCTAATCCCCCTTCCTGGTCATGAGTAGCTCCCTGCGTGTACACACTTGATCCGCAGTTTACGTCCTGAATAAGCGTGCTCCGTGCTACACGTCTGTTTCCTTTATAGCTGGGCTATAGCTTAGCTGGTTCTGGGAGTCTAGCTAGATGTAGGAGAATCTGCCATAGAGATTTCTGAGTCCGTCAGGCTTTAATAAAGTAGCAATCCGCCACAAATTGGTGACCCTGACGTGATTTCCAATGCCTGACTATAATCGCTCAGCAGAGAACCAATCTCTCATTGGCATTGGGATTTTCTTTCCTCGTGCCTCAATTCACTCGATGATCTCTTCCCGCACGAATGATTATCACCTTACGTCCGCTGCCGTTTCTCACGACAAGTCAGATCCTGACTTCCGCTCAACAGAGACTCCATCTCTCATCGGCGACGCGATTGTTCTTCACATCGCTCTCCTCATCTGATGGTTCCTTCCCACGAACGATCAGCACTTCAACGGCACCCCGACTCTCCCCTTTCACTAGCTATGACTC